GGGGGTAGGGGTGGGGGGAATGGGGAGATGCTGGTCACAGGGTGCAAACCTCCAGCTACAAGATGAGTAAGTTTTAGGATCTGATGCACAGCAATGGTGACCACAGTTAACAGTACTGTGTTATGTACCTGAAAGTCGTTAAGAGAGTAGATCATAAATGCAAGAAGTCCCCAAAAATGTATGCACTCTAACAGCTGATAGCTCAATTTTGAAAATGAAATGTATTTTAATAAACACCGCCTTTGTAATCATTCAAAGTGTGTGTATACATTTTTGGGAGGATACCCTATATTATCACCACACACAAAAAAGGTAATTATGTGAGGGGACGGGGGTGTTAACTAACCTTATGTGGTCATTTCATAGTATATACGTGTATCAAATCATTACACTGCTCACCTTAAACTTACATATATGTCAGTACTATCTCAATAAAGCTGGAAACAACACCTTCCCTGATGCCCCTAACATCTACCACCTCCTTGTGAGGCGATCCTATCACAGGAAGTTATGAGAACACATCGAAAGGGAGAGGGAATCCAAGACAGAGACCAGACTCAAACACAAGACCAACACAGCCTCACAGGAGATACACACTTTCACCCCCGGCCACATCTTCCAACGACTTAACCTGCACTCATCTGGTCAACCGGGGTTTCCATCCGAAACCTGTTCAAATGCAGCAACCTGAAGGTTAACAAGCTCTCCTAGCAAAACCATGATTACGTCCACGGCTGCCATCTTTTAAACAAACACGCTTTCTTCTGCCACAGGGCTCCTGTCCCTGCCCCATCCTGCACCTCTGCAGAAAAGCCACTTCCTCGGGGAGCCTTCTTGGATCCCCAAGGTTAGATACAGGCCCGCAGGATCCAGGGCTGTTCACCCGTGATTTTACTGATGGACACCTGCCTTTGGCACTTGACTGTGTGCAAGCTGACAAGGGCAGGGCCCTGGTCTGACTTCTACTCACCATTTTATCTCTCCCCTAGCAAATAACAGCTGCTAATAAATAACAAACAGGTGAATGAACGAGTGAAATGTATAATTCTGTGCTAAAGCAGGCATCATCTTCCCCCCACTGCCTAGCGGTTGCAGGTATCAGACATTTGAAAACAGAATCTGTGGGAGACAAGCTGGTGACTGAGGCTACTCCGGCCTTGAGGGTACTTCTTTAACCGGGGAGCAACACTGTCGCCGTTTCATTCTGACACAGAGCAGCCTGTGCAACTATGTTTCCCCCCATAACCTAAGCTCTTCCTAGTGGACGACACAACACTGTCGCCGTTTCATTCTGACACAGAGCAGCACCTGTGCAACTGTGTTTCCCCCCATCACCTACGCTCTTCACACTCTTCAAAACGTGGTTACGAATCTGCTCCTGTCCATTGCCAGGTCAGTCTCAGGAGACTGACCAGCCCCGTGGAGGCTTCAGGTGAGGGATGGAGGCTCACGCGGCCGACGACAGCGCCCACGGCCGCAGCAGGGGCGAGCTGACCCGCAGCCGGGCCTCGAGCACTGCTTGCTGAGAACTCGGCCCCTTACTCACTTGCGGAACAACCGCAATGAGAAGGTGAGAGTCCGCGGAGGGGTGCTGCCGCGCGAGGGCGGCGTGCGGGCGCCAGGAG